TTGGTGAAAATGAAAAACGTCTTTTGTCTTATGGAAAAAAAACTACACAGACTTTTTGGCCAACCCAATATATTAAAATGTATAAAAAACAAATATTCAGCAAATTCTCAAAGTATGAAATAGTTGAACACTGAAGGTTAAAATAACATGGTCGTCCTATTTTTTATTCTGCCTTTTCTCCCACTCACTTCAAAACATCTTTCATTAGGGATACGGTCATTAATAACTGCTTACACTATTGGCTACATATAGTGCTCATAAACAGGTAAGGCAGAGCCTCTCCTTCGACTCTTAGCTGAGTTGACAGTTAGGGCCGCTGCAGGGCAGACAGGAGGATCAGGGAGGAGCCTCCCGGGACCCCAGGGTCAGGGGGACATCTACTGGTCTGTGATGCCCTCTGCCCAGAATTCCCTTTGGCAGGACCAGGACCTGGCTGCTGCGGTTGGAGCACCACCTCACCAATACTCCTTAGACCCACCAGACAGGCCTTTGGTGGTCTACCAGGCACTATTTCTTATGCCCTAATTTGTCTCCTCCGCTTTCTCCCCCCGCCTGCCTCACACCCTACTCTAGCAGCCATCCTTTAACTTCACCTGCACAATGTCCCCACTGTGCTCCAAGTAATACTCCCCTCCTCCTCACAGGTCTCAGTCCTCTGCCCCTTATGTGTCTTACACAAAGCACTTATCACAACTTGTCACTCTGATAAAGACTTTTGAGTGAGCGAGTGTGGGTGGGTGGGGGTGTGCGTGTGTTTTCCTCCATTGGATTGTAAGTACTATGAAGGAACTTTGCATTTCTTCTGGTTTCCACTATTTTTCTTGAGCATGATGCCTAGCAGGTGCTCAATTAATACTTGGTACATAATAGGTGGTCAATAAACAACAGGTGAATGAATGAATAAATAACACAATTCAAGGTAAAATAATTTTTATCTCAGGTAACAATGTATGCACTGATTTTGGTAAAACCTCTAGAACCTCTTCCATCTACACTGTAAGTAAACAGCATTGACCATCTTTGTATAATGTCCATTTTTCCCAGGGGCTTAAAGTCCTGCTAACAGACTCAGCGCCCTGCCCACTGAACTCAGTGTGACTTAAGAGGATTTGAGGCACTAAGGCACCAAGGCTAGCTCCATCAAGGAAAGAAGAAGCTTCTACACACAGTGGAGACGCACCTGTAGACAGGGTACAGGATTTGGTAAGTTGATGAGAGTCACACCATAAATGACAAGCATGGCTTTCTCCTCTGGCCAGTCAGAGGGCTGCAGGCTGAGGCCTCAGTTAGCTCATTGTTCACATTTGACCTCCGGGAGGCCTTACCAGGAAGCTTTTGCAAGCAATGCCACACTGGCGGGTCAACTTTTCAGCCTGGCTACGCTTTGTGACTGGTTATGCACTAAACGTTTTAAAAACCTAGTCCCTTAAGTCTTTCACTTTAAAAAGTTAAAAGCTTTTTAAATGTTTGTATTTCTTCTGTTTATATAATATTTTGTTCTGTTGGTCCTTAATGCTTTTAGGCTATCCTTATAATACTTTTACTGTCTCATTTTCCCTTATTTAAACACATTATTGATTCATGTTTTTAATCTGATTTGGGGTAGGAGCAGTAGGTCAGGGTTGGAGCCTGAAAATTTACGTTTCTAGCAAGCTTCCACGTAGGGCTGATGCTTTTTGCTAATTCAGAGACTACATTTTGAGAATTGCTCTAAACCGTATCGGTACAATAGAATTCTCTGGAAAATTTTTGAGAAGTACTAATGCCTCAACTCCACTTCAGTCCCTCTATAAATTAATCAGAGTCTCCAGTGTGGAGTCCACAGGGATTCTAATGTGGGGCCAAGGTTTAGGATACTTAATCTGGGGCGCTCAAGGATACTCAGCTCTTGCAGTTTAACAAAGTGCATAATTGTAGAATCTTCATTAGTCTCATATCCATAATTTAGGCTAAAACATTTTAAACGAAGTTAAAAATGCATGCTACTTTCTTTTTCTAATTTCAGGCAGGCCAGGCAACTTTGAACTTCAGTTAACTCCAAAATGCCTCTGAATGCCACAAGAATCAGCCAACCAAAATCAAGTACCTAACATTTTGCTACCACATCCCCCAAAGCTCCAGCTATCATTGGCCAAACACCTTGAGTTCCAAAACACAACAGCTGATGAGTTTACCTTACACGGCCTTGTTACCATGTAAGAAAAATGGCCAGCTTCCTAGCTGCCAATGAAGTTTACTATTCTCCAACCCACCTCCACTAACACAGGATTGTATTTTAATTTGCAATGTTCAGACTTGGGAACCAGTTTCTCTATTATTTAAGATCCTGGTTTTGAGTACAAAAAAACCCCCCAAAACAAAAAACAACTTTAACTACATGAAGCTTGAAAGGGCAAAATAAGGATACGGGGCTGTGTCATGCTAGTAGGCAGCTACTGCTTATTTTGTAACCACAATTAGAATCATCTAGGAAACAAGAGCACTAATGGGAACTATAAAACAGTTAGAATTAAGTACCAAGCAGTTTCAAGAATCAACCTTGAACAATATTTTATGTGTTTGTTTATGTGGCATTTTATATATATATATATATACAAATATATATATAATTGACTGTGATTTTAATGAGGAAGTATCATATTAAATACTTACCGTATTACTTTTTCCAAGGAAGAAGGTTGCAGCTGTGATATGAGTGAACAAGTAAATCTACCTGAAGCGACCAAAGACTGGAACAAAGAGCACGTGAAACAATGGGTGACCAAAGACCTTAACATTGATGAAAAATATGGACAGATGCTGTTCGTAGAAGAAGTGACAGGATTAGTCCTGTCAGAATCAACTGAAAAGGATCTTAGAGACATGGGACTACCACGGGGCCCAGCACTTCTGATAAAACGAGCATTTGACAGATTGAATCATGGTTTCCCGGATAATCACGCTCAGAATTCTGGACTATTGGATCATACAAAACCCTCCAAAAAAGGACACCATGAAAAGACGCAACGGACAAGAAAAGAAGAGCAAAAGTCAGCGTCATCCAATATTGATCATAATCTCAGCAAGACCAGAGATACCACAGAACCACAGTCAGTTCTTCTGAAAGAAAGTGCTTCGAATGAAGTAGCAACCGCTGAAGACAAAAAAAATAATAAGCGAAAACCTGAACAGTTGACTTGCATGCCACATCCTTTTGATCAGCCCCAGAGCAGCCATCACTACATAGAACATTACCTTCTACCACCTGAAACAGGACCAGGCAATCTCATAGACCCAACTCATGAGTACAAAGCCCTCACCAACCCAGGCACGGCCACAGAAAAGGACATTAGGATGAAATTTAGCAACGAAGTCTTCCGATTCGCATCAGCTTGTATGAATTCGCGCACCAATGGCACCATCCATTTTGGGGTCAAGGACAAACCCCATGGAGAAATTGTTGGAGTGACAGTCACCAGCAAAGATAGCTTCATTAACCACTTCAATGAAATGATCACAAAGTATTTTGAAGACAGTGAGATCAATGAAGCCAGGAAGTGCATTCGGGAGCCAAGGTTTGTGGAAGTCCTCCTGCAGGACAACACACCATCTGACAGATTTGTCATTGAAGTAGATGTCATTCCAAAACACTCTGTGTGTAAAGAAAAGTGTTTCTACATTATGATGCATCTCTGTGACAATGGAACATGGAAGCAAAGTGAAGAACTTTCATTGTTTGTGAGGGAGGGGGTTATCTCTAAGGATATCTGGGCCAATGTCAAGAAACGGGATATAAAATTGAAAGCATTTTCTAAAACACTAAAGTCGCTAGCAGCATCCAGAAAAGAGGCTGAAGAAAAATTTGAGGCAAGGGAAAATAAGAAAGAGAGTGAAGGTCATAAGCAGGTATAACTTCTCATAGGAAACCGAGAGTCACTGGATAATTCATACTACAATTGGTATATTCTTGTAACTAATAAATGCCATCCAAGCCAAACAAAGAACCTAGAGTTTCTAAAGGAAATTAAATGGTTTGCTGTGTTGGACTTTGATCCTGAATCCGAGAGCAAGGGGGTAGCCAAAGCTTACCAGAAAGACCGCGTAGCAAATCTTCACTTCCCAAGTCAATATGAGGAAAAGACAACTACCACAAGGGAGAAAATTTCTCTTCTGAATCTTTATGATCAGCCCAGCTGGATCTTCTGCAATGGCAGATCAGACTTGAAAGATGAGAGCTACAAGCCTCAAGAACCACATTTATGGCAGAGGGAAAGAGCGTCTGGAGTCAGACAACTGATTTTGTTTCTCACAGATGAAAATCTCATGACAAAAGGGAAGTTTCTGGTAGTGTTTCTATTACTCTCTCCGGTGCAAAGCCCAGGAGATCCACTCATTGAAACCTTCTGCGCTTCCTACCAAGCTCTCAAAGGAATGGAAAGTGTATTGTGTATCTGTGTAAACTCACAGATTTATCAACGATGGAAAGATCTACTACAAGCCAGACTGACAATTGCAGATGAATTAACAGGACACAGTGTTTCCACTTTAAATTTAGATTTGATAAACAGCACTATCCTTAAACTGAAACCAGTCACTCAGTCACCAAGAAGGTTTCTGCCCTCCCGTGGATCATCTTCCATCATCTTAGAGAAGAAAGAAGAGGATATCTTGACCGCACTGGAAATTCTCTGTGAAAATGAGTGTAAAGACACAGATATTGAGAAAAACGAATCTAAGTTCCAACAATTTAAGAAAACAAAAGAAGAGCACTTTTATCGAGGTGGCAAAGTATGCTGGTGGAACTTCTATTTTTCTTCTGAAAACTACTCTTCGGCCTTTGTCAAAAGAGACAATTATGGAAACCTTAAAGAGCTGATAGAGCGTACGGCAGAGTCTCCTAAACCAGTATTTGTAAAAATTATCAATCTTTACCACCATCCAGGCTGTGGGGGTACCACATTGGCTATGAATGTTCTCTGGGACCTAAAGAAACACTTCAGGTGTGCCGTGCTAAAAAACAAAGGAACTGATTTTGCAGAAACTGCAGAGCAAGTGTTCAAGCTGATTACCTATAAGGCAACCAGCCATCAGGATTACATTCCGGTACTTCTCCTGGTGGATGATTTTGAAGATCAGGAAAACGTCTACATTCTACAGGACACTATCCAATCTACTTTAGTAGCGCACGGTTTGAGATACGAAAAAACACTGGTCATTATCTTAAACTGCATGAGATCCCAGAATCCTGATCAAAGTGCAAAACTAGCAGACAGCATTGCACTAAAACACCAGCTTTCTCCCAAGGAACAAAGAGCTTTTGAGGCCAAACTGGAGGAAATTGAAAAGCAACATAAGAACTGTGAAAACTTTTATTCCTTCATGATCTTGAAAGAAAACTTTAAGAAATCGTATATAGAAAATGTAGTCAAGAATATCCTAAAAGGACAGGATGCCAACAGCAAAGAAACCCAACTCATTTCTTTCCTGGCTCTACTCAACTCTTATGTTACTGATTTTACAATTTCAGTCTCACAGTGTGAAACATTTTTGGGAATCCCATGCATTCATACGCCCTGGAAGCCTGAGAGCATAGAAGACAAGATGGGAACCTACTCGACTCTTCTAATAAACACAGAAGTGGCCGAATATGGGGGATGTGCAGGCGTGCGCATCATTCACCCTCTGATTGCCAGTTGCTGCCTAAAAGAGCTGGAAGAAAGCTATCACTTGGGTAAGTGTCAAATTGCCTTGATGTTATTAAAAGAGAATTTATTCTATACTTCTGGAATAGGAAGAGACAAATTTCAACAATACGTGCAAACCCTTCTGCTTACGAGACAGCGCAGAGAGTATGGAGATGAAACAGACACTCTGTTTTCGCCGTTAGTTGAAGCTCTACAGAATGACGAAGTGGAAAGGGTCTTGAAACAAGGAAGCGTTCGGTTCCCTCAAAATGCATTTATTTGTCAGGCCCTAGCAAGACATTTCTACATTAAAGAGAAAGACTTTAACACTGCTCTCTGTTGGGCCAATGAGGCCAAGGAGAGAGCACCTAAAAATTCCTATATCTCAGATACTCTTGGTCAGGTCTACAAAAGTGAAATCAAATGGTGGTTGGATAAAAACAAAACCTGTAGGGCTATCACTGTTGAGGATCTAACACATTTCCTGGAAGCTACTGAAAATGCAGCAAGAGCTTTCAAAAAATCCCAAGAGCAAACTGATGGGAAAGATTCTGAAACAGAGACCTGGTCACCACAGAAGTCCCAGAGAAAATACGACATGTATAATACGGCTGGCTTCTTGGGTGAAATAGAAGTTGGTCTTTACACTATTCAGATTCTTCAGCTCACCCCCTGTTTCCACAAAGAAAAGGAATCATCTAAAAAGCCTATGGCAGAATTTTTATCTGGGAAGGGAAATATTCCTACAGACCCAAAAAGTGAATATTATTTGGCTCTTAACAAGTTCACATCCTACTTACAAAATTTACAGTCAGATATGAAAAAGTGCTTTGACTTTTTTACTGATTATTTAGTTCTTTTAAAAACAAGGAATATGCTAAAAGAAACAGTGGAAATCTTATTAAGCAAGAAAATCAGTCGTTGTTTCAGTAAATACAAGGAAATTTTCTGCCTGTTGGATTCGGGTCCATTAGCGAGCAGAGAGAGTCAATTACTGCTAGAGGAGAATCGCTGGAAAACCCTAGAAGCCTTGAGAGCAGACAGGTTTTCTGGACTTCTGGAATATCTTAACCCAAATCAGGACGATGCCGCAAACACTATGGAAAACATAGTGGACCAATACACTTCCCTCTTGCTGCAAAATCCAAATAAACGGCTGGCAAAGGAAAAACAAAATTTTATTTTGGCCAACATTATTCTCAATTGTCTAAAACCCAACTCCAAGTTCATTAAGCCACTTAACACGCTTAAAAAACTGCTTCGAGAAGTGTTACAATCCGTAGAACTAAACCATCTATGTCCAGATCCTTATTTCTTGGCTTGCCTCCTGTTCTGGCCAGAAAATGAAGAGCTAGATGAAGATGCTGAACTAATGGAAAAGTACGTTTCATGCTTAAGTAGATCCTTCAATAGACAGTACAGGAGAATGTGCAGGTCCAAGCAGGCAAGCACACTTTTCTACCTGGGGAAGAGGAAGGGTCTCAACAGCCTTGTTCACAAAGCCGAGATAGAGCAGTACTTCAGTAAAGAAAAAAATATAAATTCCTTCTGGCAGAGTGGAGACGTGTGGAAAAACGCAGAAGTCAAAGATCTCTTGCGTCCTCTCACTGGCCTGGCTGAAGGCAAGAAAATCTCTATCGAATATGGAACAAAGAAAAAAATAAAAATACCAGTAACATCCGTTTACTCGGGTCCACTCAGAAGTGGTGGCAACATAGAAAGAGTATCGTTCTACCTAGGGTTTTCCATTGAAGGCCCTCTAGCATATGGTATAGAAGGATGTAAGAAGGCATAATATGTTTTTATTCATATCTATCTCTGATCTTATTCCCTCTAGTGCCATGGCATTGTGATGACATTATTGGCTTACGTCTCTCACGGATTTTGGTTTTATCTCCCCAAATAAACTATAAGCCTTGGTAGGGCATGAAACATGGCTACACAGCAGAGCTTGGCAACAGTAGAGTCTGCTTTCAATGTTTTAAAGATGCGCTTTCAGACTAACATATTTAATTAAGAGGTTTCAGTTGATATCCACTGGTCATGTCATTATTGTTTATAGGGCAATAAATGCTGTCTTAATTCTATCACTCTGATGTGTTTTCTGAGTTATGAATTATTCCGTCACTGTGGAAGCAGAGACGTAAGTAAGAGAACCAGGGAGGAAAAGCCCCCCCTTAGCTACTGAACTCCACCAGAGATCCACACAGAGCGCCGCCTACCTCGCCTTGGTGTCGATACGCATGTATTATGTGGAAGGTAAATATTTTGTTCCCATCCTCCACCTACCCCTCCATACACACATACACACACACAATTCCTCGTAGCCCTTGCCCTTCTCTCAATTCCTTGCTTTGAGTTGGGAGGAGAAAAAAGACAACCAAGTAGCCACGAGCTTGAGCTCCCCATCCATCCTCTTGCTCCCTTTACACATGAAGCGGTTCCTTTGTCCATTCTCGCCACCTGTCAACACGGTCTCATCTCCACCTGTTCTTCAGATCCCACCTCTCTGGCTGCTTTCCTTTGCTCTCCTCTTTTCTCTCTCTACTTCTCCACATGTGCTATTTGTGAACGCTGTTCTGTCAAATATTCCCTTATTTTCATCCAACATTTTCAGCATATGGCTCTTCTGATTTCTCCATCACAATTCAGTTCGAGTAACCAAGCACCAGGAAGTCCTCACTGACCCCTCTAACCCCTGCCTGATGAGACGACTTCCTCCTGGCGATATGTGCTCGCAACTTGCCAGCGCCGGGAATGCCATCCCAGAAGCTTCTTCCCAACTTACACCAGTCAGAACGGCCTCGAACAGCATGCCAGGGCTTGGATTTTAGGAGATATCTGTACCCCATGAGGTGAAACACAGGCTAACCTAGATTGAATAATTAATAAATACATATTTACTTATCCACTACTTTACATCTCCCTAGAACGTAACTTAGAAATTCCAGGCTTCGAGCCCAATTCCTCTTGTCATCAAGATGCCTTCTTCCTAGCAGTGTTCCTTTCACCAGTTTCTATGACCCTCTGGGCAATACTCACAGGGACCATGAACGTGTCCCTGGTGCTAGAAGCCACATCGGCTGCTGATCCGGCTCCAAACTGCTGCTTCCCTCTTCTGCAGGCACCCGTGCATCTGGTACCAGGCTCTTCCACGTGGCTACACTCCGGAAGTCCTCATGGGTCAGTCCCTTAATCTGTCATAACTCAGCTAAGACCAGGCTACAGTGTTTACAACATTTAGCTAAGAGCTTGACATAAGAGGAAACAAAGTTGTAAGAGAAGGGAGAAAAGCTGTTACGTGTTCCGGTTACCCAAGACTAGCCTCAGAGTTTATAGGCGCAACTCCTACACAAGGGGCCTCCGTCTCCTCGGCCCCTTCAATAGCCGTGACGTTGGGTGGCCTGGCTCAACTCTCCCAGAGGAGACAACCCTTAAACAGGGACCTCGACTCACAGATTAGGCTACACACCCTCTAAGAGCCCCAGAAAAAAATATGCTTCTTCTGAAAAACATTATAAATGCAGAGATGTCACCCCACCCACAGCGAGGACACGGTCCTACGTAATTGTGCAGAGAAGTTCCACTCCCCGTTTCAGAAGGCACTCTGGGCGTCACTCTTCTAGAATCAAAGAGTCCAATAAAGTGCTTTTCCCAAAATAGAGAAATGCCTAGTCTTGCTTAAAACATGAATTTTTGTTCTACCTACAGGAAAACTTAGCCTTAAATTCCTGTTTATCCCATTTTCACCATCTGTATATCAAAATGATTGGCTTCCCATTTCTGCTCTGAGAAGTCCAATAAAAATTAAAACAATCATTTTTAATTAATTCTTTTCTTCAAACTCCCTCCCTTTTCTTCCTCTCTTTTTTTAATTGCCAGCTGAAAAACAAAGTGAAAAAGGAAATTGTAGAGTTGATTCTTCGTTGGTGATACTGCATGTTAACGCTACCACACCTTTCCTCACCCTCTGCTCAGGAGGACTCTGGGCCCTGGGTTATCTGTTACCTGCAGCCTGTCAGGGGCTCCATCTGCTCTGCAAACCGCCAGCTCTACCCTCTTAAGTAAATTAGCTCACAACTGATAACAGCACGAGAAATGCTTACCCCAGTAGGTCTTATAATGTGGAAACAGTGTAAAGCAAGGCAGCCCATGGGAAAAGTTCATACTTAGAAAATAGGCAGGCTTACAATGCAAGCCTAATGGTGACAGCCATTCATCTGGACAGTCTGCACAGGTAAAGTAAGAATCCTGGTTTTCTCGTTTGTAAGATGAGCAAAATAAACTTGGTTAGCAAGCATCTGATGAAGATTAAACTGGATACCATAAGTTACATGTCTGCCACTCAGTAGGATCTTATTAGGAGGCAAATTTAAACATCTTTATTGAGATAATTCACATACCATAACATTCTCCCATTTAAAGTATACAATGCAATGATTGTTAGTATTCCCTTACACTTTAGGAAAACAGAAGGATGTAAGTCAGCCCATTCTGGAAAGCCAGTGGCAGACCAACATACGCTGTTTCCTTCCCGGTGCTCCCCAAGGCTCCCAACAACAGTGAAAACAGGTATTCCCAGAGGATGCAGTCAGACTGTCCCAGAGTTTGTCTGTAGCCAGGGCTCTCAGCAGTCCTCAACTCTCTCAAGAGGAGACAGATTTGAAACCTTTGGATTTTACCCAGACAGGCCAGAAGGTGGCAGGGTAAAGACTTACAAAAAACCAAAAAGAAAATAACCCCACCTTATTGTAGAGAGCAAAGTCACTTCCTTAAACTCAGATCTAGGAAAATGAAACTAAAAGCAGGCCACAGGCTTCCCCCACCTACCTATCAGTTTGGACACAGGCATTTCTGAGACACACACACCCAGTTGAATCAGAGGTAAAAGTACAGTATAAATAAGCTTTCATAGAAATTAAAAGAAGAAAACGTCTTCCTCTGACATCATAAGAGGAATAACACAGACATTAGATGTTTTTTACACTGAAATATGTAGTCTTCCTCTTATTTATGTAGAAGAAATTTAGAAGACAGTCTGGGTAAG